TTTTTGTTCACAGGTAAGACGTGTGTCGGGTTTTGATATTTTAACTGTCCGGTATGCAGTTGTAAAAGTAGAGTCAGTGTTTGTTCGAATAATTAAAATTAAATTTTTATCGCGAATTAGAGTCATTGTTTGTTCTTTTATATTATATTATTTTTATATCACGGATTTAGAATCATCTATAACTGCGAGCAATGCAGTTAATTACAATAGTGTATTTGTTCGTTTAAAGTTGTTTTTTTTTATTTATAACAGTCGTACAGACTGTTCGCGAAAGTAGAGTCAGTGAAGTGAAGACCGGGAGTGAAATTTTCGTGTGTTTGCATTTGACTGCGTGCAATGCAGTTTTTTTCAAAGTAGAGTCAGTGTTTGTTCGATTAATTAAAAAGTACAATTTCGATCGCGAAGTAGAGTCAGTGACCGGGCGGGCGTAAAAATTAAATTCAAATAATACGCGTATGTAGAGTCAGTGTTGTTCGTCGTATCAGACAAATTTCGGTTTCGCGATAAGAAACTCATCTATAGTTTCTTATATTCGTTTATCGCGTTATTAGAGTCACGCGAGTGAGTGTGTAAGTGCAAGGAAAGTGCATCAAGAAATTCTCCGATGGACCTGRTGGACGAGGGATGCAGCTGGGACCATTTTCTACGAAGTAGGAGTGTTTTGGAGCCATCGCAGAACTTCTTAAACCCTGAGTTTTTATTTAAAGTCCCTCCAGTGCTCAATCATGCCGAGGATGAAAGGTCCVAATCGGCACGAGCTACTGGTTGTAATTTTTTACAAGAAAAAGTTATTGACGAGCACATGAGTTTATTCCAAAAAAGGATTATTCCTTTTTTGGAATGGCTCATGAAACTGTATATTTTATTGTATGTATGTTTTATTAGTTTAGGATAGGTCTTCTTGTCTTATCGGTTAAATTCATTTTAATTAACAGTGCAAATTTATTAATGCACTTTTATTTTTTATTACGTGTTTGATTCGCGTTTTAGTAGTGGTGAAATCGAGTATTAATTTACTCGATTTCGTACCAATAAAGCATGTAATAAATGTCTTACATGCATTGTTTCGTACATAGTTTATTTAATCGTGATTAATTTCGGTATTATAAATTAATGAGCAAGAAGACAAACCCCTTTCGCGAACGGATAGACTCTGGCAATTAAGTGGCGGCTATAAAAAGCCCAGTTCTTTAATTAGAACAGCCAACTGAATCAAAGGAGTCGTCCGAGGTTTTTTMATTATTTTCAATTTTTAATATCTTTTTTTTTTGAAAGTCTTAAAGACTTGTAGAGTCATAGTCCGCTTAGATTTATTTGAGAATATATATTTTATTGTATTAATCAATTTTTAGATTAGGATTTTCAGCAACTAATATACTAATACCCCCTTTTCTCCCCCCTATGCATTCTTCGTTCTCATTTATGCGTGTTACCCAGGTGTTACACGTATGGGTGAGAAAAAGATTGCATRGGTTATAGTTTTTAAGTTTTCCTTTGGCGGCTGTCATTGTGCTAGTGATTGCACGGTGTACATTGCACCTGTGTGTGCGTAATAGGTGGTGCATTGTACATCGTTACGCGTTACGTGTAATACCGCGCATTTTGGAAAAAGTTATTAAAATAATAATAACTTGTAGAGTCACGCGTACGATACGAATTTTTATTTTTTTTTAATAATCGTTTTGCACAGTAGAGTCACCCACATTTATTTGTGGAAACATACACGTATATAACTAGTATGCATATATATATACTAGTGTATACTTGTATTTTTGCAGTAGTTTTATTTGCAATAATCACTAGCCTTGGCAGACGATTACAGCAACTGGTACGTAACCTTTTAGAATATAAGTTTAAAAATACGCGGTTGAACTAGGGTGACGGAGGTGCCCCGGGGCATGCTCTCTAGTGTAGGCTTTTGCACCCTGGTGGTATGTGTGAGAACCGTGGAGTGTATGGGTGGGTATGCATGTGTTTTTTACTGAATGAATGTGAAACTTTAATTTTAAGTAGGTAGGACCCCGGAAAAGCACATGGTACACTTGCACTTTGATAGTGCAAGTCCCATCTCTGGGTTTTTTTATATAGAATTGTCACAAAATTTTATCTTTTTTATTCTATCATGCTTAACTCGTAAATTTATTTTGTGACAATTCTATCATTTTTAATATGTATCATGATTCAAAGGTATTTGCAACCATTTGAAAGATTT